GTACAGTCCGTGTATACAAGTACAGTCCGTGTATACAAGTACAGTCCATGTATACAAGTACAGTCCGTGTATACAAGTACAGTCCGTGTATACAAGTACAGTCCGTGTATACAAGTACAGTCCGTGTATACAAGTACAGTCCGTGTATACAAGTACAGTCCATGTATACAAGTACAGTCCATGTATACAAGTACAGTCCATGTACTTCACTTATGTTGCAAGTTCTGCAGCTTCCAAGACGGACTGACGCAGAGTCCCCTCTGCACCGCAGCGGGAGACATAAAGTTTGGTTTTTGAAATGTGTAATCCTGGACAGACCTGAGGTTTTGACTTGTCCCCATGAAACACAGAAGTGTCATGTTAAATCATTTGATCTGCATCAAACTGCCTGTTCCATCACAGTTCATACATGGGTAATATTCTACTACTGCCTTAGAAGTAATGGACCTACACATGCTTCAGAATAAGAACACAAACTAGAGAAAACTTTAAAAAATATTTGCTAAAAGATATAAAACTACAATGTTGAGTGAACTTGTTTTCAGCCTGTTGCTTTCATGCAACTATTATCTCCAGAAACTACTCTGTTAAATGAGATCCGACTGATCCTGTGGTCTAATGATGGACAGCTGCTCTGTTGGAAGAACCTTTTTGAAGCTTTTGTGTATTTTAATTAAACCTTAATTACCCAACAGATCTAAATGAGAAGTTTGAGAGGATATCCTCTAGTTTTCTATAATTATGTATGCTCGTGTTTATATGTTTGTATCTGTTAATATATTGTGATCCAGTGGTCAAATTTCAGTGAAATGTACAGAAGGTAATCACTGGATATACAGGCCCTTTCCAAAAAATTAGAATATCATGGAAAAGTTGTTTAACTTTCATAATTCCATTCAAAAAGTTAATCTTCAATAGATAATAGATTCAGGGCCCACATTTTAAATGATTTCAAGTATTTATTTGTTTATTTTTACATAATTTGGACTTCCAGCTCATGAAACTCATGAAAACAGGAATTCAAAAAATTAGAATACTGTGAAGACCTCAGCCCACACTACTCAGTTTGTGCATAAAAAAAGAAATAAATTAGGATCACAACAAATCAATCAAAATATGGTACTTTCAAAACAATATGTCAATCTTCAACACTTGGTTGTGAATCTCTTTGTCTTAATCTCTGCCTCGATGCGACGTGGCATTGACTGGGAGTTATGGAAGCCCAGATTTCCTTGATGCTGTCAGATCTTTGTTGTTGGCTCTGGTGCCCCTCATGTTCCTCTTGAGAAGACCCCATAGATTCTCAGTGGGGTTTAGGTCCGGAGAGTTGTCGTCCTCCTCCTTGTCCCAGTTGAGACGCTTCCTACATTGATTCAGGTTCAGAAGTGGATTGACCCAAGAAACACGACAGTTGTAGTCCATCTCACGGATACTTCTGAATGTGGTGGTTTTTGAAGCTGTGACTCCCGCCTCATTCCACTCTTTCTGGATCTCTGCTAGATTCTAGAATCTTCTCTGTTTCATGATCCACTGAAGCCCACGGTCATCTCTTTTGCTGGTGCATCTTCTCCTGTCACATTTTGCCCTTCCACTAGACTTTCCTTTGATATGCTTGGACACAGCACTCTGTGAACAGCCAGCCTCCTTAGCTATGAACTTTGTGTCTTACCCATCCTATGGAGGGTCTCAATGATGGTCTTCTGGCCAGTTGTTATGTCTGCAGTCTTCCCCATATTGAACCAAACTGAGACAATTGAACCAAACTGAGACAACTGTTTTTCTTCTTCTTTGGTTTTTAACGGCAGCTTGCATCCATCAATGTTGCACTACTGCCATCTCTTGGTATTTATAAAATAATTTATTTTCTCATATTCTCTTATCAAGTCTAGTATTATTTAAAAAATGAAATATCTTTCTTTTCCCTTCATCACTATTCAGTTGAGAAGCCACATTTTTAAACTTTAGTTCTGTATTACAACCTATTTCCATTCTCAATAATCTTCTTTGACCCACATATTTCCATATATTTTCATTTGGTAATTAATAAAAACATGTTCTATTGTTTCTGTGGTATTACACCAGTCACATAAACCAGTAAGATGTTTCCCCTTCTTAAAGAGTGCCATTCAAAAAACTATGTCCAGTTCTTATTCTATTTATAATGATCTCCTCCCTCCTATTTATTCCTCTGATCCTTTTAACATCAACTCTATTTTGTATCCAAAAAAGTTCAATCTGGTCCTCTGGACATTCAAAAAAAAAAAAAATGTAGAAACGTTTCGTCTCTCATCCGAGAGACTTCCTCAGTCTGAGGAGCTGTATTCAGCTCAGTCTCTTAAATAGCACCTTCTCAGAGTGGATCAACCAGTTTTGCTGCGGACAACCAAAACCAGCTGATCACATGCTCAAGAAGGACCATCAGCCTAACAATGGATCATTAGCACACTGATGGCTGTTTACTGTTCACAGAGGGCTGAGTGATACTAGCAATCACAGCATTGTAAGAGGGGGACAGTTGAACCCGGAGGCTCCACCCCTGTTTAATGATGGACGATTTCTTTTCACAAAGATGGCCTCCTTTACTCCTCTCTCAAACCATCG